AAGCTCAAGCATGACAAAATTGTTATGGTAGGTTTTTTTATTTAAAATGATTAATAGTAATGACCAACTATCCTTTTGGCTCGCCCATGTTCCCTAACTTCTAGGTATCTGCAATCGGTTACAAACTATGCACATCAAGTTAACCAAGTTTTTTTTTGGGGGAGACTCGAACTTTTGGGACACTGAGCTATTGACTGTAATGGTAATATAGCCAGCCAAATCAATCTAAATGTATTTGCCACAACTTCTTTAACTTTAAAAGGAAAGATAAAGGTGTAAGAACACATTCCTTAAGTACTTTATGTGCAGTACATCTTTTCAACTGTGCATGGAAAGACATGAGGAATAGGTTTTTATGGGAGAATATTTGATAGGATATTGGTCCTAACTTGGGCTTTTAAAGAATAACTCACATGATGGGCTTTTTGAATTTTAGATAAGCTTCTGGCCCATCTCCAACCTAAATGGCAATTTTCTACCTATGACAGTACTAGGTCAGCGTCAAAAGAAAGAAAATTGGATTGATTGCAGTAAATTTGAATAAATTTAGATGGCGATAGGGTAGTCTCAAAATGGAGGTTTTTCGCCTTTAAGATTGCATAGAATATATTTGAGGCCTGTTATCTTTACATCCCTAGCTCATAATCAAANGATTGCATAGAATATATTTGAGGCCTGTTATCTTTACATCCCTAGCTCATAATCAAAGTGGTCTTGTGCGATCTCATGCGCGACCATCAAGAAGTTGGCTAGCCTGCATGCGGTTACAAAATCGCATGTAGAAGCCCCATAATCCCCCCCCTCTAAAAACAAAGTTATGCATCCTCAGCGACCCTAACACAAGTTTGTATACCTTATGTCTAAATCCCTTAAAAATATAGGTGTTTGCTCTGAAAATATGTGTAGATCGGTTTTTGGAGACTAAAAAAGTGAGAGTTGAGGAGGAGTTATGTAAGTATTGGTTGATATGGAATGGTGGTATATGGCATCATGGTAATATGATCATAACCATCCATGGTNGTGAGAGTTGAGGAGGAGTTATGTAAGTATTGGTTGATATGGAATGGTGGTATATGGTATCATGGTAATATGACCATAACCATCCATGGTTAAGTGTTTAAACATTAATCACCTTAAATTTAGAGAAATTTCTAGGCTCCATTACCAAACGTCATTATGGGAAAGGCCAATGCCTAGTACGGAGTTAAAAATTCTGAACTAATAACTTTGAGGTTGTATGTTCAAATACCAGGATATTTATCTTATATCAATAATGTCAAACACTATGTTTATATCTAGTCTAGGCTGTCTAGCCATCCAAACACCTCCAATTGAATCAACAATAGTTATTTGTGGAAAATAACATTGTATTCGACCCTATCCTCTAGAAGTGGGCTCCATGCTATTCCTCGTTATTGATTTGATAGTATCTGTCTAATGTAGTTTTAAACTTGTGATGACATGATGAACCCGATCTAATAAATAGTTATGGCACCCAAACAAACACATATTGGTCTTGATTTTTCACATTATTCTTTTAGTTTTCATTTTTTTAGTTCTTATGTGGAAGGCAATATTCTCACAATTTTCCAGCAGACAAAAGGGATATTCAGAAGAACGATTTAAAGAAGATCACGGTACGTGTCACGAGGAGAATCTCTGGCATGCATTGCAGGTACATAGAGAGAGAAAGAAAAAAGGGGCGGGAAGAAGAGAATCTGCAGAAAAGGTTATGGTTGGAGTCTTGTACGAGAAGACTGATTTTAGAAAGTGACCAACCACATCATTTCAAAACCTGTCCCTTTCCCTGCCAAGGGAATTGGATGCGCTCTCTCTCTCTCTCTCTCTCTCTCTCTCTCTCTCTCCTGTTTTTATTGAAGAAGTTCTCTCTTGGTACTAATATTACTGGTTCCATCGGGTCTGGTTAAGTTACTGTTTTCCTCATTGATCTCTTACTCATTTAAAAGAAAATTGTTGTTTTAATTCAAGACCCAAACTTTTAAGCTAACTAGAAGGTATTTGGATCCCTTAAGAGTATCTGATTAACTTATTGAACATATACAACCTTTCATTTCACAAGTATCCGAAAGAAAAGATTTGAACTTAAGAGTTTTAATTTAATGGAATGGACTTGTAGCCAGTTGGTTTATTCTTAGAATCATTATCCACCCATTAAACACTATGAAGTTTGTGGAAATTAAAGATAGCTGATCAACCATATTTGTTTGAGGTGTGGAATTTATAGTAGGAGATGTGAACATTTAACAAGCATGTGCACCAGAGGAATGCAAACTTTAAATGCATGTAATTTAATAAATATCATGCACATATTATCCAATAGCGAAGAGTCTTTCCGAATTCCTCGAATCCTTAAAGGAGAGATCTAAAGCTCTCTAAGAAATAATTCTTGAGGTTCAAAAAACCATTGTAAAAATCATGTGAGAGAGAGAGAGAATCTTCCTACCTTCCTACCCACTTCACTAAAGGCAGTAGCAGAAGAAGATATTCTCATCATCAAGCTATTAGACTCCTTTATCATCTTTTGGGGGGTGTTTTTCTCTTTAAGCTTTGTGGGTTGTGTTCCCTTAATTTAGAGTCGTAGAATTGGAACTCAGATATTCTTTCCTTACAACTAAATATTATATTCTTTTATGATGAATATGTAACCTATTAGATCAGATATTCTCCCCCCCCCTCTCTCTCTCTCTCAAATTTAGAACAATTGTGCTACTTTTGAAACCTAAAAGAAAGGTTGTGTGGAGGGTTGATACAAATCACCATAAAAATGGTTGAAGATTGAAAACTGAGATTAAATAATGTGTCGTTTTGGTGGCGGCATTGATTAGCCTATGTGACGATGCTTACTATAGGCAATACTTCGATTTGAGTATTAATTTTTGAACTAAAATCTTGAAACTAATTTTAAATTTTGACGAAATCAAATTTCTAAGCTCGTTTTCAATTTCAATTGGTAGTCTATATCATTACACGAGCTTCACACCATTTGATCCTAATTTTTTATTCGACAATTGAGTTCTTGTATCGTTATCCTAAAATATATTCTCTTTCTACTGTTGTATATGCTCTTTCAAAAGATTTGTATTAGTTAATCAAAATGGAACGGAATCGTTAGCTCATATTAGCACAATACTTTGTAAAGGACGGCTAGAAGTGCTAATATCCGTACACGTGTCAGAATTGACATGTTAAGTTAATCATGACCATTCAATCCAACCCTTTTTTAAGAACTTTTGTAGTGGGTTGTGGGCAATTTCTGCTCTTTTGCAATCTAAAGACACATTCTGGATGTTATGGCTTTCGACAACTCATTCTTGCCAGTGGAATTTCCGGCTCAAAAAATCATCCACGTGGATCCCACTGGAAGTGAATTTCGGCCAGCTTGATTGCATGCTATTGTGTGCATCCATCTATGTGTGGAATATAGGTATAGACCCAGTAGTACTAAAAAATAATTGGGTTAATATCATTTTGAATCCCAAAAGATATTTTGATTCTTACTTTGTTCCCTTAAATATTAAAATTTTTAATGTGTATCTTTAATATTATAAATTAATAACAATATGAATCTGATCCAAACTATCCTTCAATGTTTCCTCATAAATTGAAGAACATAAGGTGCAAGTGGGACATGAGTACGAAGTATATTCATTGCTGTAGATTTTCGTCTACAATTAATTTCACATCGTTTTGTGTATCAAAAATAAAATTTTAATAATCAAATAGAGATTGACCTTATTATGTGTAACTCGCATGAGACGTCAATAATATGTAAATTTATACATAAATTCATACCTGAAGCATTTGCACAAAAGGCTTAATTTATTGGGTCAGATCCATTTCTATAAATTCATAACATTGAGAGTACAAATTGAGATTTGTAACGTTTGAGGGCATAAATTAAAAATTAAAGCATCTTTCGGGGTATAAATTGAAATTAGTCCAAAATAATTTTTTGGTATTATATTAAAAATTAATTTAGGTTGTTTGTAGCCAAATTTAATGGTGAAAATAATAAAATAAAATTAGAAATAGAATAAGATAATTTGTCATGTGTCACATTTTAATTGGATAAAAAAAAGATATATATGACACTAAATGATAATGATGAATTTGATAAGCTAGCCATTTGGGCAACGCCATTAATGGCCTTTGATGCATAAAAAGAATGAGCAATGTAAAGAGTGAAAGAAAAGAGAAAGTTCCTAGGAGAAGGAGGAGAAGGAGGAGAAGAAGAATCTTCTTTTACATTGTGATTAAGATTCGAACAAAGACTACCCCAAAAACACAAATNAATGAGCAATGTAAAGAGTGAAAGAAAAGAGAAAGTTCCTAGGAGAAGGAGGAGAAGAAGAATCTTCTTTTACATTGTGATTAGGATTCGAACAAAGACTACCCCAAAAACACAAATTCTCTCTCTCTCTCTCTCTCTCTCAGCACATGACCCCTCAGGTGTCAGAATACCTCTTGATTCCTTCTCCCAGGGGCACCTCTTCACCCAATATATTAAGCCTTTTGCCTTTGATCTTTGCAAGAACTTACCATTTCTCTGCTTTATCTCTTTGCTTTTCCTTTTCTTCGTCTTCTTCTTCTCCTCTCTTTCTCTCTCNCTTGATTCCTTCTCCCAGGGGCACCTCTTCACCCAATATATTAAGCCTTTTGCCTTTGATCTTTGCAAGAACTTACCATTGCTCTGCTTTATCTCTTTGCTTTTCCTTTTCTTCGTCTTCTTCTTCTCCTCTCTTTCTCTCTTTCTCTCTCTCTCCAAAACCCTACTTTATTCTCCCTCGAACTCACCCCTAAAAAGAAGACGACCCCTCTTGATCCTCCTTGTGTTCACAAACACCATCCTCTCTCTCTCTCTCTCTCCGGTTGAGTTTCANCTCTCTCTCTCTCCAAAACCCTACTTTATTCTCCCTCGAACTCACCCCTAAAAAGAAGACGACCCCTCTTGATCCTCCTTGTGTTCACAAACACCATCCTCTCTCTCTCTCTCTCTCCGGTTGAGTTTCAAACCTAGAAAAAAAAATAGCCCTCCACCATCTTTTCTGGCTATTCTTTGTTCGCACATAACACCCTATTCTTTCTATATAAACATTTACATTTGTCAGCAGAAAGATTGTTGAAATATATAGTAGTGTTATAAGAGATAAAACATAAATGATGGCAACATCACCTTCGGAAATATGCCTTGATTGCAAACCCCACAGCTATGCTGTCCTGCTAAAATCTTTTGGAGAGCAGACTGCAGATCAGACACAAAAGATCGAGGAGTTCCTCGCCCACCTCGAGGAAGAACGCCTCAAGATTGACGCATTCAAGCGCGAGCTTCCCCTCTGCATGCAACTTCTCTCCAATGGTAATTGTTTCCCTCTCATGCATCTCCGTATTCCCGATATGCATATTGACAATACTCTTACTCTTGCTAACTCGCCCGAAAGATATGATTATAGTGTTGCTGCAATTGAAGAAGGGTTAGTATGTGAAAAATGCATTACTTCTTACCAAATACCAACTCCACCATTTTTTTNTAACTCGCCCGAAAGATATGATTATAGTGTTGCTGCAATTGAAGAAGGGTTAGTATGCGAAAAATGCATTACTTCTTACCAAATACCAACTCCACCATTTTTTACTTTCTAATGTGGAAGGTTAAGCCTTGATTCTGTGTTTATTCATATTTGTTACTAGCTAGAATCATGTATGCTGAGATTCATAATATATTTTACTATACCTAATAGTATATATTCATGTTCTGTGCAGTAGTGCCTAGCTTTTAGTCATCTTTATCTTTTTACCTTAATAGAAGCAAAGCTTTTCATGTTCATAACCTTATTTCTTGGNACCTAATAGTATATATTCATGTTCTGTGCAGTAGTGCCTAGCTTTTAGTCATCTTTACCTTTTTACCTTAATAGAAGCAAAGCTTTTCATGTTCATAACCTTATTTCTTGTAGCTCATCCTTCTTAGGTGTTTTTTCATGAGTTTGGTATTATATTCTCTATTTACCAGCTCATGTAATGCATTAGCATGAATATGAATCAAAATAAAGTTACCTTCTTTTACATGTAATATTTACAACTTATATATTGTTGTATCTGCTGCACCTCTTTCGGATCCAGCACAACAATCAATGAAAATAAATTTCTCTTCTTCTTCCAAGAATATTAACAACAACTATTTTCGTTTTTGATTCTTGTCCTGGATTAATCAGCCATGGAGACTTCAAGGCAGCAGTTACAGGGCTACCTGGCGAATCAAGGGCAACGGCCAGTTCTTGAAGAGTTCATACCCCTTAAACATTCAAGCACTGAGGGATCAGAAAAGACATCAAACATGTCTGATAAGGCAAATTGGATGACATCAGTACAACTATGGAGCCAAGCAAGTGATGGAACCAAATCACAATCTAGCATAGCATCTCCTAAAAAAACTGATACTGGTTTTAGTGTTAGTCCTCCCAAGCTAGATCTAGAAAACAAACAGAGAAATGGTGGGGCTTTTCTTCCATTCTCGAAAGATCGAAACTTGTATCCAAGCCCGACATTACGGGCTCTTCCTGATTTGACCCTTGCTTCAAATGACAAAGAGATGGAGGATAGAAAGTGTTTGGAAACTAATTCAAGAGGGGAGACCTGTGTAAAGGGTGGGAATGGAGCTACGACAACAGAGCAAGGAAAAGGAGGTGGTACTGCCGCAGATTCGCAAATAGCCACCAACAACACAACCACCCCTACTACTAATCAAACACATAGGAAGGCAAGGAGGTGTTGGTCGCCGGACTTGCATCGGCGTTTCGTGAATGCTCTTCAGATGTTAGGTGGTTCTCAAGGTACTATATTTTGAAATATTTCCTGCCAAAAAGATTAATAAAAAGTATATGAATTTGTAAACATATGTATAGTTAAGCTGATGGTGATGGTAAAAAATTGTCACTATCGATCATCTTCAATTATTTTCCAGTTTTATTTAGATGTTACGATTTTTATATAATATGGCTATTTTTTGTGGATCATGATCACAGTGGCCACCCCAAAACAAATCAGGGAGCTCATGAAGGTTGATGGTTTGACAAATGATGAAGTTAAAAGCCATTTGCAGGTCTCTCTCTCTCTCTCTCTCTCGCACACACACAGAGGCGTGCACACATGCATGAAAGAGTCCATTTTTGTACTTATTCACGTTGATACACTGCATATTTTTGTGTTTGTTGTGTGTGTGTGTACAGAAATATAGACTTCACACAAGGCGACCATGTCCAAGCCCACAGCCCACTGCAGCACCCCGGCTGGTGGTCTTAGGCGGAATATGGGTCCCACAAGAGTATGCTGCCGCTCACGGTGCTCCTCAGGCTGCTCTATACGGTGCACACCCAACCACCCATGCTTCCCTACACTACTGTGCACCACCAGTGCCCCAAGAGTTCTATCCAGCCCCAGCACCGCCATCCCAGCCCCACCACCAGTTGCACCACCACAACCTCCACCATCAACTCCACATGTACAAGCTTCCCTCACAGACCCATAGCTCCCCGGACTCCGATGTCCGGGGCACCGGTGACCGGTCTGAGAGCATTGAAGATGGCAAGTCCGAGAGCAGTAGCTGGAAAGCCGACAGTGGGGGCGAGAACGGAGGAGATAGGAAAATCTTGGTGCTCCGGGAGGATGGTGAAGAGAGCAATGGAAGTGATATCACTCTCAAGTTCTAAATTTTTCTGTGATTAGTGTTGTAATTTAATATCTAGGTTCTGGGTTAGAGTCTCTACTGACAAAATGTAGTTTCTGGATTATCAGATATGTAGAGGGTAAAAGGGGAATAATGAAAGTGAGTATTTGTTTTGTTTTTGTTATCCATTGCATGCTTTGATGTCTTATTGATAAAAAATGAAGTTTGGATTTTTATGGTCTGGTTTCACGGGTCGTGGTCGTTTTGTTTTTTCCTATTCTCCTTTTTGACAATTGACATATTTACCCTTATGCAGTAATTTCTTCGTGGAGCCGTGGTATGCTTGAAAGAGCTTTTACCCTAACTCAAGCATTTTTACAAATTTATGCCAAAAAGGGAGTTAGTTTTAAATTATTTTTCAAATTCATGTCCTTTTAAAAAAATCATTCTAATTGAAGTTTTAAAAATAAAAGGCATTAGTTAAACTGACGTTTTTGTGTAAAAATATTGTTCGAACAAACGTTTTTAAAAATATTTTAATTTTTAAAAACGTCAAATAAAGCATTGATTAGACCAACATTTTTATCGTTGCTACCTGATCCTTTCTCATTTCTTTCCCTTTGCCTTCATTCTATCATTTTCCCCAAATTCTCTTCCTCATTCAAAATCACAGACCCCCATTCCATAAGAAACCACGAGCAACACCACCACCACCATCATTACCATCCCACAGCCCCATACCCAACACCACCACAATCCGAAAAAAAACTGGTAAGAGCATCCGAAACCTCCACCCTCCCCATTCTGAAACCTGTCTCCCCCAATTCTTAAATCCCCCTCTTCCCCCCACCCCCCCAATTTTCAAATTGAGAGGTTTGAACGTTTGGGTTTATGCTCTTTGGCCTTTGTAGTTTCAGAATTTTGACCTTTTTTCTTCCTATGAAAGTGTCAAAAATCTGAAAAATTTGAGCTTTCAAACAAAGTGTTTCATTGAGAAGCTATAGGCATGGAAAATGTTTCTGGTCGTTGTAGCGAAAATGAAAAAAATGGAATTGCCTCCAAATTCTAAAAACCCCCTCTCCAATTTCTAAAACCCCACCTCCCCAAATTTTGAAACCCCCACCTCCCCAAAATTCTGAATCCCTTCCCCCAAATTTTGGAAACTCCCTTAGTTTTATGTATAACAGAATATTTACATTTAGACCATATAAAATATTAATGTAAGTATTTTTGAAAATCTTATATTTATGAGACGTATTGTACAATTGATTTTTGTTATTTAAAGTGGATGAGTGTTAAATTGTCATTAAGTTGTATTATTTAAAATTTAATTAAAATTATTATTTTGTCATTCTTTCCCCATTGATTCCTATAATTACACTTTGAACCCCCATTTTTTTTATTGTACTTCACAATTTCATGTAATGGTAATCAATTATAACACTTTGTTGGAGTTGAGAGAATTAGAAATACAATGGAAGAAAGTGGCGGAGGATGTGAAAATTCAAAGAAAATAATGTGTGGAATGATGTTGTATTGTATGATGATGTTTGAATTTGAATTTAGGAATTATGTAAAAATTGTGCTTTAACCTCACTAAGCGTGTGGTTTTGCTCACCCCTCCATGGTTAATTGTTTTCAGGACTCACAGGATGTTGAAGGTAGTCCATTGGACGATTTAGTTTGATGTAGAGGAATTGTTGTTTGAATGTACAAAATGATATGTAACATAATCGTATATAGTCTTTTGTTGTTTTAACTAGAATGTAAATGGTATGGTACCCTAGTTGGTTGTAATACTGTGTTTGTAAATATCAATTTTAATGTTAATTGAAAATAGTTTTATTTTTGATTTGATTTCAATAAATGATATAATAGATCATTAATTTTGGTTGTAAAATTTAAAATATTTGACATTCTATCTTTGATTGAAGTATTTTTGGTCTAAGAATAACATTTTAAATTTAAGAAATCCAAGTATTATATGTGTACAAACTTTAAGGGGTCTAGGTATAATTTATTAACCAATATATTTATAGCAAAGATTTAAGTGTTACGCATGTACAAACTTCAGAAGATCTATATGAAATATTTTAAATATTAGAGGGTTTGAGTGATTAAGTGACAAATTTTAGGAGATCAGAGTATAATTCTCCCAAATAAAATAAAAAACAAGTCGTTGGTTTAACCAACGTTTTTAAGAAGCTAAAGACAACTTTTTAAAAAGACAACAGTCAAACCAAAGTTTATGTGATTTTTTTAAAAAATAGAAGTTTTCTTAAAATGTTTGTTGAAGTAATGTTTTTAGNTGTGTACAAACTTTAAGGGGTCTAGGTATAATTTATTAACCAATATATTTATAGCAAGGATTTAAGTGTTACGCATGTACAAACTTCAGAAGATCTATATGAAATATTTTAAATATTAGAGGGTTTGAGTGATTAAGTGACAAATTTTAGGAGATCAGAGTATAATTCTCCCAAATAAAATAAAAAACAAGTCGTTGGTTTAACCAACGTTTTTAAGAAGCTAAAGACAACTTTTTAAAAAGACAACAGTCAAACCAAAGTTTATGTGATTTTTTTAAAAAATAGAAGTTTTCTTAAAATGTTTGTTGAAGTAATGTTTTTAGAAAAAAAAGTTATTCCAAATAACATTTTTTTTATATAAAAACCTCATTCTAACTAACGTTTTTAAAAGTGTTTGAATTTGAAAAATAATTTGAAAATGATTCTTTTTTGAGTATAAGTTTTTTAAAAAAGCATGGGCTAGGATCAAAGCTCATCCTAGCCCAGCTACGACTAACAATTAAGCTCAACTTACGTATATCCCGATTAATTTCCTCCTTGATCCAGTGATAATTTTCANCTCATTCTAACTAACGTTTTTAAAAGTGTTTGAATTTGAAAAATAATTTGAAAATGACTCTTTTTTGAGTATAAGTTTTTAAAAAAAACATGGGCTAGGATCAAAGCTCATCCTAGCCCAGCTACGACTAACAATTAAGCTCAACTTACGTACACCCCGATTAATTTCCTCCTTGATCCAGTGATAATTTTCGAGCTACCATGTTATTATGTCTTGATCTCGACATAATTAATAGGTTAAGATTGAATAGTTCTTCAAACAAGAGTACAATCGGCTAAAACATGAATCATAAAAAAATTGCATTAATATTTAGCACAACAAACTCATTGAACTGCTGTTGTACAATTAAAATGTGCTTTTTTTTTAATATGTTCTTTCTGAATATAGTATTATATGAATCTTTGCAACGCTAGAGGAAATTTTATATGACTTTGCTAACATCTAATTCAAGTGAATTATTCAGTATATTAATGTCAATTGGTGATAGGTTAAGTTTACAAAAAAANAGAGGAAATTTTATATGACTTTGCTAACATCTAATTCAAGTGAATTATTCAGTATATCAATGTCAATTGGTGATAGGTTAAGTTTACAAAAAAAAAAATCATAAAATTGAATTTCTAGTTCAAGCATTATTCGTGTCAATCCTAATATGACACAACTAATAAAATGACTTTATTACCTTTAGACATTCGAGCCTATTAGTTATGCAACTTTCAATCATAATTGCCCAATACTCAACACATATCTAAAATCTCACCATCAAACATGGTATGACTCGACCTATTTACACTAGTATTTTTCTTAAGAGCTCTGGAAATTCTTGATAAACATCATGTAGTACTCTGTTAATTAAGTACCAAAAATGCCATACACCATCCCCTAGAGTAACTACTAAGCAAAAACAGAAATGGGTCACAAAGCAGAACAGACACCGAAAGGGTCGCTTGAGTACTCAGCACTTCCTCTTTGTCATCTTTTTTTTTCTAATTTAATCCATACAATGCCTTTTGACAACAATAGTCCCCAAGTTGGTATTCACACCATATAGTCATAACCTAAAAAAGACACCCCGATGCCCAATATACTTGTGATTGTATGTAATTATACAGCACAAGTAAAGAGAATTTTCGTGACTTGAATACATGATAGTGATATTACAATGGAACAACTNCACACCATATAGTCATAACCTAAAAAAGACACCCCGATGCCCAATATACTTGTGATTCTATGTAATTATACAGCACAAGTAAAGAGAATTTTCGTGACTTGAATACATGATACTGATATTACAATGGAACAACCTTACCGCCCTACCAGTTTTCTCTGGTCATCAAACATAATGGATAAGATCAATGATCTTATTATGGCCAAGTGCAAAATGTTTTGGAAGGTACAAACNTTACCGCCCTACCAGTTTTCTCTGGTCATCAAACATAATGGATAAGATCAATGATCTTATTATGGCCAAGTGCAAAATGTTTTGGAAGGTACAAACACAATCCTTATTAGACCATAGGCCTATCTTACAAGCTACTTCCCTAAAGGTAATTGACAAGTAATGGCATTCATTCACCAACACTAAAAGCTAGAAGGCTGAAAACACTGCAAAACAAAAATTGGCAACAGCGTAATCATATAACTTTGACGTTACAAAATGAAAGATGATTTCTCTCCAGTGATAATATTTAGATAAATCAGCAAGAAAAATATATATTTTGATTCATACCCAAATTGGACAAGAGAGTAGAAGGGGGTTAAAAAGTAGCATATAAACAACTATCCAATGTAAATCAGACAGTGAAACTTCAATGCAACGTCAAGCCAAGCCATTTGCCAGGAGGATCCCATCCCTTACCCCAACTTCGATCATCACCATATTCCACCTCTATCATTGCTGACTTGATAAGAGACTGCAACCAGAAAAAGCCGAATAACTTAACTGCTTGTATACAAGGATGTATTCGTGTTCTAAGGTTTCAAAATAAAAACTTATCATTGCTTGCAGCAAACTGTTCATGCATGTCCGATATACACATGATACAAGAGGACCAATATTTACATCAACACAAATCCACGTACACTCACCCACAAACGAATGCAGGCAAACACTCCTATCATTCCAAATTTCATCTAAATTCGCGCTTCTATTAGGACTGAACAATACAGCATGGTCAAGAAAGAGAAAACGCCGCATTTTCTAAGAGTAATTCAAGAAGCACGATAGACCTATGCACAAAATAATGACATATACATATATGAAGTTTACAAGCACATGATCTCATGGCCTGCTCAATCCCTCCATGG